ATTGGGACCCTTGAGAATGTTTCACAAGGAAGATTTGACGCCCCCGAAAAGGTTTTACAATAAAAGCAATATCCCTGGGACCCCCGAGAAGGTTTTACATTTGTGGCCCCTGAAATGGTTTTACATTTTTAAAGAAAACAGTTGGGACCCCCGAGAAGGCTTTATACTAATAAAAAGACATTCGGGGTCCCCGAGAAGGTTTCCCATTATAAAAAAGGACATTTGGGGCCCCCCGGGAAGGTTTTACATTTTAAAAAAAGCCAGTTGGGACCTCTGAGAAGGTTTCACCTTCTTAAGAAACACATTTGGCGCCCCCGAGATGGTTTTACAGAAAAAAGCCAATTGGGACCCTGAGAAGGTTTCATATTAAAAAAAAAACACTTGGCGCCCCCGAGAAGGTTTTACATTAAAAAAAAAACAGTTGGAATCTTTGAAAAGGTTCACATTGTAAAAAAAAATCATTTGACGACCGCGGGAAGGTTTTTTATTAAAAGAAATATATCTGAGATCTCCGCGGTTTCACATTAAAAAAATAACATTGGGCCCCCCCGAGAAGGTTTTATATTTTTAAAAAAGACAATTGGGACCCCTGAGATGGTTTCACGTTAAAAAAACATTTGGTGCCTCCGAGAAGATTTTGAACTTAAAAAAAAATTGTTGAGACCCCCGAGAAGGTTTCACATTAAAAAAAGGAAATTTGGGTCCCCCGAGAAGGTTTCACATTAAAAAAAGGAAGTTTGGGTCCCCCGAGGAGGTTTTACATTTCTAAATAAAACAGGTGGGACCCCCGAGAAGGCTTCATATAAAAAAAGACATCGTGGTCCTCCAGAAGATTTTACATTAAAAAAAATGGAGTGTTGGAAACCCCGAGAAGATTTCACATTCCCCCCCCCCCCCAGAAAGTTTTACATATACAAGCCAGTGGGACCCCTGAGAAGGTGGCACATTAAAAAAACCATATTTGGCGCCCCCGAGAACGTTTGTATTAAAAAAAATACTTGAGACCCCCGAGAAGGTTTCACATAAAAAAAACATTTGAGCCCCCGAGAAGGTTTCCCATTAAAACAAAAAAAAAAATTTGGGGCCCTCGAGAAAGTTTTACATTTTTAAAAAAGACAGTTGGGACTACTGAGAAGGTTTCACATTCTAAAAAACAACATTTGGCGTCCCCGAGAAGGTTTTGCATTAAAAAAAAAAATAGTTGGGACCCCCGAGAAGCTTTTACATGAAATAAAAAAATTTTGGGGCCCTTAGAAGGTTTTGCATTAAAAAAAATAGTTGGGACCCCCGAGAAGGTTTCACATAAAAAAATAAACATTTCGGCCCCCGAGAAGGTTTCCCATTAAAACAAAAAAGGAATTTGGGGCCCTCGAGAAGGTTTTACATTTTTAAAAAAGACAATTGAGACCCCCGAGAAGAAGAAATTCTGTAAAATTTAATTCCAAAACTAGTTTTTCTTTACTGATTCGTTAAAAATTAATTTGTGAAAGAAATTCTTATTTAGTATTCAGTTATCAATTTTTGTATACAGGAAAAAAAATTGGTCGCTTTGAATATCGAATATTTTAAACCTGATATCTACATGTCATTCGAAAAATAGAAGTCAAAATGAGGTTGTATTGTTTACGCGCAGAAAAACCGCCGAACTTTATTTTACATGTACTTAGTTTAATAAAATGCTTAAAATACATTGTGTGTGTGTGAACAGAATCAAACACTAAATAAAACGGTTTATAAACAATTAATAATATAAAATTTGAATTTTCCGGGGAAAATTTTTTAAAAAGCGTCATTTTTTCTTACACGGAAAATCGAAAGAAAAAAATGGTTTGAACATACGCACGCAAGAAAAAGATTGCATAAAAAATAAACAAAAATGCTAATAAAATATGGAACGACGTGAAAAAAAAATTGAAAACCAGACTACTGATCATAAAAGTTAAAAAAATGTTAAAAAAACAACACCCAATTTAAAATTAATGCAAAATTCTAACCTTTAGGCTTCTTCTTCTGCTACAATTTAGCGAATTCCCTCGTCTTCTTTTACGAACCCACTGCAACAAAGCAACAAAAAACACATGAAATTTTTGTGTACACAAAGAAGAAGTTAACATCAACTTTATACATACTAATTTTTAATAACGGTGCAATTCAAGGTTACACAGGTTTAATAAGTAGATAAAATTAAAAAAAATATATTAACATGACCCAAATACAAAAATGTTTTCAAAATAGTTCTAAAATTTAAAAAATAACAACGCTAATAATTGCAATAAATATATTATGTATATAAACCGACTGAACTTCTTTGCATAACACGAAAATGAACAAAAAATCCTCGCCGAACCTTATCAGTCGTTTTTTGCAGAGTTTTTTATGCATCGACGCATCGCACAGGAAAATGAATCTTAATTACCCCTAAAATAGTGCAACATTATTCATTAGCAGAACATAATTTTCGCGCTGTTTGGATGAATACACAATTGTTAATTTTACACACAATTCGTCGAAAACAACTTAGAAAATTGAATTTAAATACGTCTTAGGAAAATATTTGATTTTTCGACAGTTAAACACACAAAGGTAATTTAGTTTCAGATCCTAAGACATTTTGGAACTACATTCGTGGTAAAAAAAGTCACACCAGGATACCTGGTCAAATGACATATAATGACTCTCAACTTGACAATGCTGATGCTATTGTTAATGCTTTCGCCCATTTTTTTCAAAGTGTCTATATTGAATCAAATTCAAATTCATGTAACAAACCATGTGATAAGCAGTCAGGTGAAAGTTTCCCGAATATCGCTGTACATTGCTTCTCTCTGTCAGATGTGCGTCTTGCCTTAAAGCAAGTTAAAAATAAAAAAACTGCAGGATTAGACTTGGTACCAGCTTATATAGTGAAAGATTGTTACAATATTTTTTGCGAACCTTTGCTGCATATTTATAATTTAATCTTGAAAACGTCAACCTTCCCCTCAATATGGAAAAAAGTTAAAGTTTGTCCAGTATTTAAAAGTGGAGATCATACTAATATTGTGAATTACCGACCCATTGCTATATTATCGAATTTTTCAAAAGTTTTTGAATCTATTCTTTATAAACACTTATATGCACAGGTTAAAAACTTAATTTCCCCTTGTCAGCATGGTTTTATGAAAAAGAGATCAACTGAAACTAACTTAGCTGTACTATCACAATACGTTGCCGAAGCTTTGAACCAGCGTGGCCAAGTGGATGTTTTGTACACCGATTTTCGGAAGGCTTTCGACACCATAAACTTCCTTATACTCATTAAGAAATTAGATCACTTTGGGTTTTCGGGAGGACTGTGTAATCTGTTTCTATCGTATCTTTCTGAAAGAGAGCAAGTAGTTGTTTATCAACAGAGTAGATCCTTGCCATTTTTCGCCACGTCTGGTGTACCACAGGGATCCAACTTAGGGCCCCTGTTGTTTCTACTGTTTATCAATGACCTTAGTGACATAATGGATAGTAACAGATTGTTCTACGCAGACGACTTGAAATTATACGCCAAAATTGATTGTTTTAGCGATTGCTTAAATCTTCAACATGATTTAGATAAAGTTTATAACTGGTGTTGCGAGAATTGTCTGTTTCTGAACATTGGTAAATGCAAGGTGATATCTTACAGTCGTAAAAGGCAGATTACTCAGTTTGACTATAGCATTAATAATGACTTAATACAACGTTGCTCGAAAACTACTGACTTAGGTGTGACATTTGATACTGAATTTACCTTCAGGGAACATATTAGCATTAAAATTAAGGAATCATGCCGTGTTTTAGGCTTCATTTACAGAAATTGTTCTGATTTTAGAAATAGAAACGATAGTTTGAAGACCCTATATTACGCTTTGGTGCGTTCTAAACTCGAGTATTGCTCTCTAATTTGGTATCCTGTGTACTCCTATATGGTTAAAGGGATAGAGCGTATCCAACGTAAATTTCTGAAATTTCTTTATCGCCAACGTTTTGGTTATTACCCTCATAGACACTTTGAGCATTCCATCCTTTTGTCTATCTTTGGAGTATTGCCACTTGAAACAAGGAGGGTCTTATCATCCATTAATTTTGTATATAAGTTAAATAATTTTTATATTGACTGTCCCCTGCTTTTAGATTATCTTAATTTTTATGTGCCTCGTTTATCGAGTAGAAGTAGTCGCACGTTTTATTGCACCTTTAATAGAAGTAATGCCCTAAAGAGATCGCCTATCACGGTTGCTTGCTCCAACTTTAATATATTTGCGAAAGATTGTGATCTTAACTTCGATTCCTTAAAATGTATTCTAGGTAAAGCTGTTCTCGAGTTTAGCAAAAAATAGTTTATCTTTATCTAATTAGTTTATATATTTTTCTATATGTTTTTGTGCGCATCTGTACACTTATTTGTTTATTGTTTTTTATATATGTATTTTGTATTTTTTTCTTTTGCCTACTTGTGGCTTATGCTGTTTGGCAAATATATATCTATTATTATTATTATTATTATTAACACAGAATTTAATTTTTGTCACCACTTCTCTGGCTGTAGAAAAAATTCTTTAACGCTATCTAATAGAGCTATAATTTAAAAGCATTTTCAAACATAGAATTATGGAATTTGATCCAAAAAAAATCCAAAAAATCCAGAAATCGAAAATTTAGAAACGCCAACAATTTTTGTAAAATTGACGAGTATTTAGTGATACTTTAACAAAAATCAGACAAAGTGATATTAAATCATTAAAGCTCCTCACATTAATCCCTGGAAACGTATTTAACGCAAGAAGAATAAACCCGGAAACTACAACATATCATCCAGTTCCTGAGCCACCAGAATTACCAGATCATCAGTGAATTTTTATTACTTTCTTCAATTACATATTATTGGAAGCCGTCAGTAAAAACAGAGATAAAATTATTTGCCCAGGGTTCCAACGCGTACCTATGTCAAACTTCGTAAACTTAGGTTCCATATTAAAACAAAAGGCTTTTTCTACTTCGTTTAATAAAATAGAAACCCACTATCACTCTCGTCGTCACAACACTACTATCACAATCTCCCTTGCTACCCTGGAAATTTATCCCCAACAAAATTCTTCACCACTTGGGACAACTTCTCCGGAAACTTGATATCAAAGTCCACCACAATATCCCCCCTCCTGGACGATTCCTTCGGGAACGGCAACCCCAGCCCCAGTATCCTCTTCACACTACTCGGCTTGATTATCTCCCCACTAAAATCCAACTTCACCCTTTTATCATTCAAAGTAGGAACACTAACCGAACAGCCACACAAAGCCTGCTTAAGCGAAATCTGCGCGGTGAACAAAATATCACTTCCACTCCGCTTAAACACGGGGTGCGGCTTATCCTTGATAATAAAAACCACGTCCGCGGGCACCCTATCAGGCAAAACGTCCCCCTCCTTCGGGAACGTGATCCTCGTCCCAGCCTTCCAACCCGGCTTCACCACAATCGTCAACATCTTCTCCTCCCGCGTGCGCACCCCATTCTCCACCACGTTCCTCGAGATCTTGATGGTCTTGGTGCACCCGTGCAGAACGTCCTCCAAGCACACGCTCAAGTCGTACTCCACCGGCGGGTCCTGCTTCTGCTTGCGCATCTCCATGAACACGTTGAAGGGGTTGTCGTCCAGGTCGAAGAAGCTTTCGAAGGGGTCGGCGCTACCGAAGAACTGGGCGAAGGTGGCCCGCGGGTCCCCGTGGAAGGTGTAGCTGAAGCTCTCTGGCCCGCCCCCGGGGCCCAGCACGCCCCCTTTTAACCCGTCTTCGCCGTAGGTGTCATAAATATCACGTTTTTTCTTGTCGGATAGTACCTCGTAGGCTTCGGCGATCTCCTTGAACTTGTCTTCGGCACCTGGAGATTTGCTCTTGTCGGGGTGGTTGTGCAAGGCTAGTCTTCTATACGCTTTCTTGATTTCGTCGTCGGTGGCGTTGCGTTTGAGTCCCAGGATTTTGTAGTAGTCCCGACCCATCGTGCTGACAGGTTGTCACTGAAATTTTGACGTTTTTTTCTTGGAGATGCGAATACGACGTCATTATCTGGTCAAAAATTAAAAGACCCCTGAACCGGCAACGTTGTACGAAAATGCAACCGATAACATTGCTTAGGGAGGTTTTTGGTGCCAAATGTGCTGTCAAAACTTGAGGTTAGGATGATTTTGGTTTTCACTCAAAACACGAATTTTTTTTTGTTTTATTTTGACATTTTTGTCATGAAATTTCAAATTTGAATTTTTTACTACCAACTTACCAATATACAAACACGCCCAACTTAATTGTGGTGGTTTTTTAATTTTTCAATCAACAGTAGGTGACAATGGGTTTTTTGGATTTCTTAAATTTTCTGGGTTACTTGGATTTCTTGAATTTATTGGAGGTCTTCGATTTCTTAGATTTTTGGATTTCTTGAATTTTCTAGATTTCTTTGATTCTCTGGATCTTGTATTTCTTGGATTTTTTGGGTTTCTTGGAATTCATGAATTTCTTCAATTTCTTGGATATCTTAGATGACCGCGATTTCTTGAATGTCTTGGATTTCATGCGTTTCTTGGACTGTTTGCATTTCTTGAGATTCTTCAATTTCTTGAATTTCCTTGTTTTCTTGGATTTCATGAATTTCTTGGATGTCTTAGATGTTTTCGATTTCTAGAATGTCTTGGACTTCTTGCACTTCGGGATTCTATGAATGTCTTGAATATACTGGATATCTTGGATTTCATGGATTTCTTCAATTTCTTGGGCGCCTTAGATATCATGGATTTTGTGAATGTCTTGAATTTCCTGATTTTCTTGAGTTTTTTAGGTTTTTGCATTTTATTGTTTCCTTGGAGTTCTTGAATTTCTTCAATGATTTGGATTTCTTGGATGTCTTGGATTTTTGGGATTTCTTCAATTTCTTGGATGTTTTAGATGTCTTGGACTTCTTCGGTTTCGTGAATTTCTTGCATATTTTTCGATTTCTTAGATTTCTTTTATTTTTTGGGTATCATAGATATCGTACATGGATTTCTGTAGATGTCTTCGATTTCTTGAATGTGTAGGATTTCATGGGTGTTTTGTATTTTGTTGTTTTCTTGGATTTCAGAGAGTTCTTGGATGTCTTAGATGTCTTGGATTTCTTGCGTTTCTTGGGCTGTTTGCGTTTTTTGTGATTCTTCTTGGATTTCTTGGGGTTTTTGCTTTTATTGAGATTCTTCAGTTTCTTAAATTCCCTTGTTTTGTTGAGTTTTTTGGGCATTTTGTATTTTCTTGTTTTCTTGAAGTTCTTGGATTTCTTCAATTTCTGGCATATCTTAGATGTCTTGGACTTTTTAAGTTTCTTGGACTTCTTCAATTTCTTCGATATTTTATATGTCTTCGATTTTTTGAATATGTTCGACTTCATGCGTTTTTTGGATTGTTTCCATTTCCTGAGTTTCTTCGCTTTCTTGGATTTCCTTGTTTTCTTGAGTTTCTTGAGTGTTTTGGGTAACTTTGGTTTCTTGACTCTTTGGGTTTTTTGTATGTCCTTGTTTGGTGGATTTCAGGGATTTTTGATGTCTTCGATATCTTGGGATTTCTTGCGACTCTTGGGCTGTTTGCGTTTTTTGAGTTTCCTCCTGGACTTCTTAGATTTCTCGGATTTCTTCGATTTCTTGGATTTCTTCAATTCCTTCAATGTCTTCAATTTCTTCAGGTTCTTGGATATCTTAGATGTCTTCCATTTCTTAAATGTGTTGGATTTCATGCGTTTTTTGGATTGTTTCTTCAATTTCTTATATTTCCTTGTTTTCTTGGGTTTCTTGAGTTTTTTGGGTAACTTTGGTTTCTTGACTCTTTGGGTCTTTTGTATTTCTTTTTTTCGTGGATTTCTTGGATTTCAGGGATTTTTTGGATGTCTTCGATGTCTTGGGATTTCTTGCAATTCTTGGGCTGTTTGCATTTTTTGAGTTTCTTCTTGGATTTCTTAGATTTGTTGGATTTTTTGGATTCATTTGATTTCTTGGATCTTGTGAATATTTTTTTTTTTGGTCTTGGATTTCTTGGGGTGTTTGCGTTTTTTGTTTCTCCAGTTTATCGAATTTCCTTGTTTTCTTGAGTTTTTTGGGCTTTTTGTATTTTCTTGTTTCGTTGAAGTAGTTGGATTTCTTCAATTTCTTGCTGTCTTAGACATCTTGGTCTTTTTCGGTTTCTTGGATTTCTTGGATATTTCTAGATTTCTTGGATTTCTTCAATTTCTTGGATATTTTAGATGTCTTTAATTTCTTGAATATCTTGGATTTCATGCGTTTTTTGGATTGTTTCCATTTCTTGAGTTTCGTCAATTTCTTTGGATTTCAGGAATTTTTTCGATTCTTTGCATTTCTTGTATTTTGTGAATGATTTGATTCTCTGGTCTTGGATTTCTAGGGGTGTTTGCGTTTTTTGTTTCTTCAGTTTCCCGAATTTCCTTGTTTTCTTTGACTTTTTTGGGCTTTTTGTATTTTCTTGTTTTCTTGGAATTCTTAGATTTCTTCAAGTTCTTCGATGATTTGGATTTTTTGGATGTTTTGGTTTCTTGAGGGCGCACTTCTTGAGTTTCTTGGATTTCTTCAATTTCTTGGATGTCTTAGATCTCTTGGTCTTCTTCGGTTTCTTGGATATTTTTTGAATTCTTGAATTTTTTGGATATCTTGGATTTCTGGAGTTTCTTGCATTTCTTGAATTTCTTGGATATCTTAGATGTCTTCAATTTCTTGAATGTGTTGGATTGCTTGCGTTTCTTGGGCTGTTTGCGTTTTTTGAGTTTCTTCTTGGATTTTTTGTATTTCTCGGATTTTTTGGTTTTCTCAGATTTCTTGGATTTTTTGGATTTCTTGAATTTCTAGAATTTCTTGGATTTTGTGAATGTCTTGAATTTTTTGAATGTCTTAGATTTCTTGAGGTGTTTGCGTTTTTTGTTATTTTAGTTTCTTGAGTTTCCTTTTTTCTTGAGTTTTTTTGGGCTTTTTGTATTTTATTGTTTTCTTCAAGTTCTTCGATGATTTGGATTTTTTGGATGTCTTGGAATTCTTTGGTTTCTTGAGCTGCGCACTTCTTGAGTTTCTTGGATTTCTTCAATTTCTTGAATGTCTTAGACGTCTTGGTCTTTTTCGGTTTCTTGGAAATTTTTAGAACTCTTGAATTTCTTGGATATCTTGGGTTTCATGGATTTCTTGAATTTCTTGGATTTTTTGGATTTCTTGGATTTCTAGAATTTCTTGGATTTTGTGAATGTCTTGAATTTTTTGAATGTCTTAGATTTCTTGAGGTGTTTGCGTTTTTTGTTATTTTAGTTTCTTGAGTTTCCTTTTTTCTTGAGTTTTTTTGGGCTTTTTGCATTTTATTGTTTTCTTCAAGTTCTTCGATGATTTGGATTTTTTGGATGTCTTAGAATTCTTTGGTTTCTTGAGCTGCGCACTTCTTGAGTTTCTTGGATTTCTTCAATTTCTTGAATGTCTTAGATGTCTTGGTCTTTTTCGGTTTCTTGGAAATTTTTAGAATTCTTGAATATCTTGGATATCTTGGATTTCATGGATTTCTTGAATTTCTTGGATATCTTAGATGTCTTTAATTTCTTGAATGTGTTGGATTTCTTGCGTTTCTTGGGCTGTTTCCGTTTTTTGAGTTTCTTCTTGGATTTTTTAGATTTCTCGGATTTCTTGGATTCCTAGGATTTCTTGGACTTTGTGAATATCTTGAATTTTTTAATGTCTTGGATTTCTTGGGGTAGTTTGCGTTTCTTGTTTCTTCAGTTTCTTGAATTTCCTTCTTTTCTTCGGTTTTTTGTATTTTCTTATTTTATTGAAGTTCTTGGATTTCTTCAGTTTCTTCGATGATTTGGATTTCTTTAATGTCTTGAAGTTCTTTGGTTTCTTGAGCTGCGCACTTCTTGAGTTTCATGGATTTTTTCAATTTCTTGGATGTCTTAGATGCCTTAGACTTTTTCGGTTTCTTGGATATTTTTAGATTGTTTGGATTACTTGGATTTTTTGAATTTTTTGGATATCTTAGATGTCTCCGATTTCTTGAATGTGTTGGATTTCTTGCATTTCTTGGGCTCCTTGCGTTTTTTGTGTTCCTTCTTGGATTTTTTAGATTTCTCGGATTTTTTGAATTTCTTAGATTTCTAGGATTTCTTGAGGCGTTTGCGTTTTTTGTTTCTTCAGTTTCTTGAATTGTTTTATTGGGTTTTTTGGATTTTCTTATTTTCTTGGAGTTCTTAGATTTCTTCAATTTCTTGGATGTCTTGGATTTCTTTAATATTGGATATCTTAGGTGTCTTCGATTTCTTAAATGTGTTGGATTTCATGCGTATTTTGAATTGTTTCAATTTCTTGAGTTTCTTCAATTTCTTGGATTTCCATGTTTTCTTGAGTTTCTAGAATTTTTTGGGTTACTTTAGTTTCTTGAATGTTTTGGATTTTTTTGTATTTCCTTATTTTATTGGATTTCAAGGATTTTTTGGATGTGTTAGATGTTTTGGATTTCTTGCATTTCTTGTGTTGCTTGCGTTTTTTTGAGTTTCTTCAGTTTCTGGAATTTCTTTTTTTTTGAGTTTCTTGAGTTTGGGCTTTTTGCATTTCCTTGTTTTCTTGGATTTATTCAATTTCTTTTTTGGATTTCTTGAATGTTGTGGATTTTTTGTTTTTTTGGGCTGCACACTTCTTGAATTTCTTGGATTTCATGGATGTCTTCAATTTCTTGGAATTTACGGATTTCTTCAATTTTTTTAACTTTTTGAATATCTTGGGTTTCTGCGTTTTTTTGGCTACTTGCCCTTCTTGAATTTCCTCGTTTTCTTAAGTTTCTTGGGCATCTAGAGCTTCTTGGACATCTTTGACTTCTTGGATTTCTTGAGTTTTCTGTATTTCTTTGTTTTCTTGGATTTCTTCAATTTTTTTATTTTTTGGGTGTCTTGGATTGCTGTGATTTCTTGGGCTGCACATTTGTTGAGTTTTCGTGTTCCTTGAAATTCATTGCCTTCTTGAATTTCTTGATTTGCTTGCGTTTGTTTCTTGGATTTCTAGTGCAATTTTTTTTATCATATGGTACATTTTTTTACTATGTGTTTATTGTATGTTTCTAAATTTATTTTTTAATAATAATTCTTGTTAAAAACATTTTCAAATATCGTCTAAAATAAGCTGACCTGACCTGATGCACTAAAGACATATTTACATTCGGATTTTTAATTAAATGTAACTTTACTTTATTTCCCACACGAAAGTAAATATTTCTGGCCCTACTTCTGTTTTTTTCTTGGATTTCTTGGATTTTTTAATGTATTGGGTTTCTCTGACTTTCTTATTTTCTTGAATTTTCTCAGTTTCTTGAGTTTCTTCCATTTCTTAGGTTTCGTGGATTTCTTGCAATTCTTTGGACTTTTTTGGGTTTCTTGGATTTTTTGGTTTTCTTGCATTGCTCGGATTTCTTGAATTCCTTCAGTTATTCTTGAGTTTCGTGATATTGGGAATCGAAAAATTGCTAAATCTAAAAACCGAAAAATTTTAAAATGAAAATTTGAGGAGTTTCATATCTTCAAATTGAGGAAGCCAAAAAAATTAAAAATTAAAAAATTCAAGTCAAAAAACCGGGAGTGTTATTTGGGCCAACAGTTTTTACTTCATAGAGGTGATCAGAAAACCAAAAATTGTAAACAATTTCGGTATTTTTTTTTTTTTTACTGACAGGTTGTCACTAAAATTTTAACGTTCTGTTGTTTGCAGGTGCGAACCCGACGTTACGTGACAACGGGCGCGGATTTCGCGCGGACCAATGGGCGAGGTTCTGCGGGAGGTACGTGTGCGCGGACGTGATCGAGAAGCACGCCAGACAGCGACTTCTGGAGCGCAGCACCTCCTACGGGAACTGGGGCGGCGAGAACGAGCTAGGCGCCAGAGTGATGATGGGAAAAGTCGTACCCGTGCCGCCGATCCCGCAGCAAACTTCGCACGGTGAGTCGGGCCACCAGGTCGTGACATCGTCTGACCATTCGTTTCAGGGCTAAAATCCAAGCTGAAAAAAGTATTCCGCACGTCTTCCGGGCACGGCCGCAGCGACGACTCCTTCTCCAGCGCCAGACTCGTGACCCAGCTCACCTCGGCGGCGCTGTGCGCCAGCTCCCCCGTGCTTCCATCGGCCCCATCCGTGCCCCCGGTGGTGAAGTCGCTCATCCGGCCCCTCACCGTGCCCAAGCTGCAGATCACCCTCGTCAACAACAACGGCGACCACCCCAACAACAACCTGAGCAACGGGGTGGCCAAGCCGCCGCCACCCGCCCCCGACTCCAAGACGCCCGTGATCAAGCCCGGCCGGACCAAGAAGAAGAAATAGCACCGGTGCGCTCTCTGCGCGCGGTAGAGGACTAATCGAAGACACGAGAGACTGTGTAGAGTAGGCTGGGTTGTACGAGATTGTGATTGTATAGACATATAACTATTTAATACTTATGTATCGTATTTGTAAGCACAATAATATATCGCGATGTCGACTTTAAATAACACCATAAATCTGCATAAGTTAAGACTTGTTTAGTGCGGCCAATAAATTGGGTAAATAAACAGGGCAGGGTTTAATTGATGGATGTCTACGAGGCGTAGATCACGAGTTGGCAGAGACTGTGTATTAGGAAAATTGAGGCGGTTATGAATCAGGCCGGCGTGCTGCTGGAAACAGGCCAAGACGGTGATTTGACGATTTGCAAACGCGATTATGGGTTTGCTTAGTCGAGTGTCGGCTGGGATTCGAGCGATTGTGGGTAAACGGCGCTTCGCTGCTTCGCCGCTCGATTTATTGGTGTACACTGGTTTATCTTTATATCATCCAGTAGGTTAAGGCTCTACCATTGTAATATTGTGTTTTTGGAATATTGACCGTTTGGTTATTTTATAATTTCTATTTAATAAACTTAAATTTTAATACATGTGGGTGTTTTTTCTTCGGCTGAACACGAATATCAACCAACGACAAGTTTAACAAACCGAAATTAACCTCGTTCTAATAAGGAATCTAAATCTGTAAAATATACAGTAGTTACGTTTTTCCAAAAATACAACACCAAAGTCTCCCAAAATTGTTTTACATAATTTACAAAAAAAATCTCCATGGGCTTCCAAATTGTACGCAAGAGTCTCCCGAATTAAAAAAAAACACTGCGGCACTTAAGACTTCAAATTCATAAAAAATAAAAAAAAAATCTTTAAATTTATCCGAAAATAAAACACCCGGGGACCTAAAATTAACTGGGAACATTTTAAACGTAAGGTTTTGAAAACTTTGAGAATTTTTGATCCGTCAAACATTTTTTCCGGAAATCATCAAACAAACAACGATTTTCTGCGTATCTGCGCACAGGAAAATTAAATTTTCATGACTAGTACTGTAAAGACCTTGCAAGACGCAAAATAAAAAAGATGCAAAAAAAAAGAACAATTTATTCAAAACTATTAATTAGAAATATTAATATGAATTGTGGAACTTGTTAGGTTTGAAATTTTGATTCCTGATAGTGATTTATGGCCGAGCTTCAAATTTTCAGTAAAAGTCCCAGTCGAGAGATCTTAGCAGATTCCGTATAAATCATTAGTACTAGAGGAATTATTGCCCATACTAGTTAGTAGTTGTGTTTTTTGCTGGCCCTGATCGTATTTTTCTTCCTACATCTATCTTATTTTGGATTGACTCCTTGATATAGCCCTCAGCCACCGTTGTACTTTGCCCGTGCATTCCAGAGGTGTAATACCATATATCGCCTGTACAAAGCAAGATTTCCTTCATCATTTTTTTGTTTTAGAATCAGGAATGTGTACTATTAGAACGTTATTTTGATCTTAAATGGGATCCTGTAACATCTTTGATAATAATTTGTCGCATCGACAAGCTCCCGAAGCGCCAACAATAAGTGCGACCTGTGAACACATAAAAAAATAAATTTATTTGAGGTACTTATTTAATCATTGTCACAACTTACTTTCGCCAATAAAAATTCCTTGTTGAGAGCTTCAAGAAGAAGTTTATCCACTCGATTTTCGTTTTAAGTTTGCAATAAGATTATAAAACTTCCTAATTTTAACATCAACATGTTCCAAAGACTTGAGGGTTTTTGCAAACTTGGTTTTTTCGCAAAATACGCAAGAAATACTTCTTCGGTAAGTGAAGTAACTTTTTTTTCTCGACGTCAATCTTTGAAAATTTGCAGAGAAAAATTCGAAAAATAAAGGGGGGCAGACAAGTCCGCATTTTTCTCGCTTATTTGAAGAGGTACGGAATCGTAATCCTGAGGAAAAAGCAAATTTGACTGCCCCCCTTAATTTTTTGAATTTTTCAAAGTTGGTCCTTACCGACCGTGTGGGGTATCGTTTTACGGGGAATTCCCTCAGGATTACGATTCCGTAGTCGTTTTTGATGTATCTCCTCAAATAAGCGAGAAAAATACCAATTTGTCTGCCCCCCTTAATTTTTTGAATTTTTCAAAATTGATTCTTATCGACCGTGTTGGGTATCGTTTGACGTGGATTTCCCTCAGGATTACGATTCCGTACTCGCTTTTGATGTACCTCTTCAACTAAGCGAGAAAAATGCAAATTTGTCTGCCCCCCTTTATTTTTTTTATTTTTCAAAATTGTTCCTTATCGATCGTGTTGGGTATCGTTTTACGCGGAATTTTTTCAGGATTACGATTCCGTACTCACTTTTGATATACCTCTTCAACTAAGCGAGAAAAATGCCAATTTGTCTGACCCCTTTAGTTTTTTGAATTTTTCAAAATTGGTCCTTATCGACCGTGTTGGGTATCGTTTTACGCGGAATTCCCTCAGGATTACGATTCCGTAGTCGTTTTTGATGTAACTCTTCAAATAAGCGAGGAAAAAGCAAATATGTCTGCCCCCCTTTATTTTTTTAATTTTTCAAAATTGGTCCTTATCGACCGTGTTGGGTATCGTTTTACGCGGAAATCCCTCAGGATTACGATTGCGTATTCGTTTTTGATCTATCTCTTCATATAAGCGAGAAAAATGCAAATTTGTCTGCCCCCCCCCCTTAATTTTTTGAATTTTTCAAAATTGGTCCTTACCGACCGTGTTGGATATCGTTTTACGCGGAATTCCCTCAGGATTACGATTCCGTCCTCGCTTTTGATGTACTTCTTCAAATAAGCGAGAAAAATGCCAATTTGTCTGCCCCCTTTATTTTTATTATTTTTCAAAATTGGTCCTTATGGACCGTGTTGGGTATCTTTTAACGCGGAATTCCCTCAGGATTACGATTCCGTACTCGTTTTTGATCTAAATCTTCAAATGAACGAGAAAAATGCCAATTTGTTTGCCCCCCTTTATTTTTTGAATTTTTCAAAATTGGTCCTTATTGACCGTGTTGGATATCGTTTTACGCGGAATTCCCTCAGGATTACGATTCCGTACTCGTTTTTGATGTATCTCTTCAAATAAGCGAGAAAAATGCGAATTTGTCTGCCCCCCTTAATTTTTTGAATTTTTCAAAATTGGTCCTTATCGACCGTGTGGGGTATCGTTTTACGCGGAATTCCCTCAGGATTACGATTCCGTAGTCGTTTTTGATGTAACTCTTCAAATAAGCGAGGAAAAAGCAAATATGTCTGCCCCCCTTTATTTTTTGAATCTTTCAAAATTGGTCCTTATCGACCGTGTGGGGTATCGTTTTACGCGGAATTCCCTCAGGATTACGATTCCGTAGTCATTTTTGATGTAACTCTTCAAATTAGCGAGGAAAAAGCAAATATGTCTGCCCCCCTTTATTTTTTGAATTTTTCAAAATTGGTCCTTATCGACCGTGTGGGGTATCGTTTTACGCGGAATTCCCTCAGGATTACGATTCCAACTCGTTTCTGATGTATCTCTTCAAATAAGCGAGAAAAATGCGAATTTGTCTGCCCCCCTTAATTTTTCGAATTTTTCAAAATTGGTCCTTATCGACCGTGTGGGGTATCGTTTTACGCGGAATATCCTCAGGATTACGATTCCGTACTCGTTTTTGATCTAAATCTTCAAATGAACGAGAAAAATGCCAATTTGTTTGCCCCCCTTTATTTTTTGAATTTTTCAAAATTGGTCCTTATTGACCGTGTTGGATATCGTTTTACGCGGAATTCCCTCAGGATTACGATTCCGTACTCGTTTTTGATGTATCTCTTCAAATAAGCGAGAAAAATGCGAATTTGTCTGCCCCCCTTAATTTTTTGAATTTTTCAAAATTGGTCCTTATCGACCGTGTGGGGTATCGTTTTACGCGGAATTCCCTCAGGATTACGATTCCGTAGTCGTTTTTGATGTAACTCTTCAAATAAGCGAGGAAAAAGCAAATATGTCTGCCCCCCTTTATTTTTTGAATCTTTCAAAATTGGTCCTTATCGACCGTGTGGGGTATCGTTTTACGCGGAATTCCCTCAGGATTACGATTCCGTAGTCATTTTTGATGTAACTGTTCAAATAAGCGAGGAAAAAGCAAATATGTCTGCCCCCCTTTATTTTTTGAATTTTTCAAAATTGGTCCTTATCGACCGTGTGGGGTATCGTTTTACGCGGAATTCCCTCAGGATTACGATTCCGTAGTCATTTTTGATGTAACTCTTCAAATAAGCGAGGAAAAAGCAAATATGTCTGCCCCCCTTTATTTCTTGAATTTTTCAAAATTGGTCCTTATCGACCGTGTTGGGTATCGTTTTACGCGGAATTCCCTCAGGATTACGATTCCGTAGTCGTTTTTGATGTAACTCTTCAAATAAGCGAGGAAAAAGCAAATATGTCTGCCCCCCTTTATTTTTTGAATTTTTCAAAATTGGTCCTTATCGACCGTGTTGGGTATCGTTTTACGCGGAAATCCCTCAGGATTGCGATTGCGTATTCGTTTTTGATCTATCTCTTCATATAAGCGAGAAAAATGCAAATTTGTCTGCACCCCCTTAATTTTTTGAATTTTTCAAAATTGGTCCTTACCGACCGTGTTGGATATCGTTTTACGCGGAATTCCCTCAGGATTACGATTCCGTACTCGCTTTTGATGTACTTCTTCAAATAAGCGAGAAAAATGCCAATTTGTCTGCCCCCTTTATTTTTTTTATTTTTCAAAATTGGTCCTTATGGACCGTGTTGGGTATCTTTTTACGCGGAATTCCCTCAGGATTACGATTCCGTACTCGTTTTTGATGTATCTCTTCAAATAAGCGAGAAAAATGCGAATTTGTCTGCCCCCCTTAATTTTTTGAATTTTTCACAATTAGTCTTTATCGACCGTGTGGGGTATCGTTTTACGCGGAATATCCTCAGGATTACGATTCCGTACACGTTTTTGATCGAAATCTTCAAATAAACGAGAAAAATGCCAATTTGTTTGCCCCCCTTTATTTTTTGAATTTTTCAAAATTGGTCCTTATTGACCGTGTTGGATATCGTTTTACGTGGAATTCCCTCAGGATTACGATTCCGTACTCGTTTTTGATGTAACTCTTCAAATAAGCGAGGAAAAAGCAAATATGTCTGCCCCCCTTTATTTTTTGAATTTTTCAAAATTGGTCCTTATCGACTGTGTTGGGTATCGTTTTACGCGGAATTCCCTCAGGATTACGATTCCGTAGTCGTTTTTGATGTAACTCTTCAAATAAGCGAGGAAAAAGCAAATATGTCTGCCCCCCTTTATTTTTTGAATTTTTCAAAATTGGTCCTTATTGACCGTATTGGATATCGTTTTACGCGGAATTCCCTCAGGATTACGATTCCGTACTCGTTTTTGATGTATCTCTTCAAATAAGCGAGAAAAATGGGAATTTGTCTGCCCCCCTTAATTTTTTGAATTTTTCACAATTAGTCTTTATCGACCGTGTGGGGTATCGTTTTACGCGGAATATCCTCAGGATTACGATTCCGTACTCGTTTTTGATCTAAATCTTCA